TCATACACGCATGATCGACTCTGTCACAACAGTGCACACGCATGATTCGACCGCAGGCGCAAGCAGGAAAAGAACGGGCAGGGGACAGAGAGAGAGAGCGGAGGGTAGGGGGCTCCTCCCTACGTAAAGAGGGCTGTAAACTTCCTCCAGAGAAGTTTCCAACTCCTCGTCGTATTCAGGAGAATCCGACAGGTCGATGATGAGTCGGATGGTGATGAGGACGGGAACGAGGGTTGTCATGGCCACGCACAGTGGGGAGTTAGACCTCAACACCTGGGGCAGATTTCTTCTCCTCAAACATGTGGGAGAGTCCTCGGGACACATCTGCAGGAAGTCCACCAAACCGCAGTAGTGAAGCAGTAGAAAGTAGAGCCAGGCCTCCTCCTCTTCCTCCTCCTCCTCCTCCCTCTCCACCTCCTCCTCCTAAACATCATCATCATCATCGTGATTGTGATCGTGATCGTCATATCATCATCATCATCATTGTTATATCATTGTCATCATAGTGCTCTTCATCGTCAGGATCATCCTTCCCCGCCTCTAACGCCCCCCCGCCTTCCTCCTCCTCCTCCTCCTCCTCCATCTTTCCCCTCTTCTTACCCGGCGGGGGTTGGAGGAGGAGAAGCGAGAGATCTGCGAGGAGAGGTCGGCGATCATCTCTTGGTATTTACTCTTGTCCTCCTTCACTTGTCGCATGTAGAGGCTACGACTCTCAAGCTCCTCCTTCACTGCTGAAGCACTGGTGGTGTATCAGCAACGAGGACGAGGAAGGAGAAGGTGGGGAAGGGGGAGAGGAGGGCTGGGGAGTGCAGAGGAAAGGAGAGGAGCGGAGAGGAGCGGAGAGGAGCGGAGAGGAGCGGAGAGGAGGGGAGAGGAGAGAGCAGAGCAGAGCAGAGCAGAGCAGAGCAGAGCAGAGCAGAGCAGAGCAGAGCAGAGCAGAGCAGAGCAGAGCAGAGCAGAGCAAACGTGTTGAAGATATATCGGAATTCAGGCGAGAACGCACAGAAAAGGAGTGAAAATGAGATGAGGCAGTAAGGGAAGACAGTCGAACTACAATGACGAGGAGAAGAGATGAGAGGAATATCACTGCATGTAGATGGAGATATGTATGCAAGGTGATCTAGAAACAACAAGTGCTGTTCTCAACATGCAAACCCCAACTCACCACATCTCATGATGAGCCTTGCCGTCGTGCTTGCTCTTGGTATCCTTCTTGTGGATCGCAGACGACAAATGTTTGTTGTGCTTTCTCCGCTTGTACGTCTGGAACCTGAAGGAAGAGTATCGATCAACCAGCAGCGCTCGGGCAGAGGAGGAGAAAACCTCTCGATGACTTGCCAGGATTTCTTGAGGCTCGTGGAGGCCTCGGAACTTCCTGCCGACTGCTCACTGCGCGTTGGTACCGCCTCCTCCTCACCTGCTGCCGTTGACGATGAAGGGGGGGGAGGCGGAGGAGGAGGAAGGGAAGATAAGAATGGAGGAGGAGGAGGAGGAGGAGGAGGAGGAGGAGCCGAGCAATCGGTACTTGGGGGGAATTGGGGGGAAGGAAGAGAAGAGGAAGGGAAAGGAGAATGAGGAGGAGGAGGAGGAGGAGGAGGAGGAGGAGGAGGAGAGGAGAGAGGAGAGGCGATGATCGCAGGAAGATGGGCAGCAGACTCTTCCTCGGCTCCATCCTCCTCATCGCTCGAGAGGATGGGACCCAAGATCGGATCTCCTCCTGTTTGGACCTCCTGCTTTGTGTCTGCCGACGTCGATGAGGGAGGTTGGTTCAGAGGCTGAATCGGACCTGCGATTTGTGTGAATGATGTTGAACATTGTCGAGATGTGAGTTATGGCGGTTAGTATGGTTTGAGAACCGTGATGTGTATGTTCCAGGATGCAAGTTTGGGAAATAGATCATCTCAATCGTCTTCATCGTCGTCATCATCCTCATCATGATCTGAATCATCATCATCTCCTGCTCCTGCTCCTGCTCCTGCTCCTCTTTCTCTTTCTCGTTCTTTTTGTCTTTCTCTTTCTCACAATTCTTCTTCTTCTCCTCCATCATCTCCATCATGACCATCATCTCCATCATGACCATCACGACCACAACAAGAACAACCACGACGCTCTACTTACTTTCAAAGTCTTCTGCATCTCGATGCGACACCTCGGGGGTTCTCAGCTTCATCCTCGCCCCTTCAACTTGGAATCGGAAAGATGGCTTGCTGAGAACATCTCTCCTGCACAATCCATGAGATGAATCAGACATGCAAACCCAACCATTCATGTAATGAGCACATGATTGTCAGAGATTGCGATCAGACGCATGTCAGCCGCAGCAAGACATACAACATAAGATCTAAAAGTTTTCATCTCTACACTGTTGTCATGCTTCACCTCAGCTCGTCCTGTTGATCCTTCGATTTGACTTCTTTTTTGCATTCGGCGAACTGATCCACCTCCGTTCCTTCTTGTTTCATATCCTTTACCCCTCCCTCCCTCACTTCCTCCTTCTCCACCTTCTTTCCTTCCTTTGCTTCCTCCTCATCCTCTTCCTCCTTCCTCCCCCCTTTGCTCCGTCTTCCTTTGTTAATTTTATTTTTATCTTTTTTTTTTTAT